AGAAACATTAATAGTATATGGTATTTTCTTTAAACACCCTGAACACAACAGTAATCTGTGATGAATTAAATGGAAAGAACATTAAAAAATGTGTTAAGACACAATGTCTGGCAATAATAGTGAAGAAAAAAAAGTCCGCTGTCCTGGCTTATATAAGAACTAAACCTTTCTATTGAAATGTTAGTTTACTCTAAACATGATAATAAGTTTGTAGAAATTGTTTACCATCTGAATCTATTTTTTGGATAATAAGCAACAGCTACTCAGTTCTTGCTAACTATATAAATCTTTATACTACCCTTTCTTTAGCTGGTAAATACATTTCTAGGATTGTACCCCAAGGTCACACTTGAATATGTAAACAAAAATTTACATAAATTTGGGGTAATAAATAAAATTTAATCTAAAAATATCAGGCTTTTAGAAATTAACTGTATGATAGTAAGACTAAAGAATGGTGATAGGTTTTGACTACGGTATCAAACTTATGTAACTAAATTGCTAAGAATGCTTCTGAACTTGGGATCCTCCTGCTTCAGCCTCTGGAGCCACTGGGATTATAGGCATGCACCACTGTGCCCAGAAAAACAATCCTAATTTTTAAGACTTTTCTTCAAAAAGACTTTCTTGAGTACCAGCTATGTACTGGATCAGTCCTGTCCTAGACACAAGGAATAAAACATGAGCAAGATAGGATTTTAATTCCAAACAATTATGGTGGCGTAAACCTGTAATCCCAGCAACTCGGGAACCTGAGGATGACCACCAGTTTGAGGCCAGCCTTAGCAATTTAATGAGACCCTCAGCAACTTAGTGAGACCCTATCTCAAAATAAAAATAAAAGGGCCTGAGGATGCAGCTTAGTGGTAGAGCATGCCTGGATTCAATCCCCAATATCTATCCCCACACCCCCCCCCCAAAAAAAATCCAAGCTTCTTTCTGTTGACTTCATGTTTACAATCTGAATAAACACAATTATTACTCTAGGTTAAAAAAAATTAAATAATGGGTCATTCTTTTAAACCATTTTAGTTGTCTTTACAAGTCAATCTGATATAAACACTAAACACTACCTTAAATCAGTCAACTCATATTCGAAATAACTGTTTACCTATTTAAGATAAATTATGAAACTTAAGATGATATATTCTATTCCTAGTAAAGTGGTTAAATAAATTAGAATACACCATATTCTCCAATATATTTCAAAAGTTAAATTGTGGAACCAAGCCAGGTGCCCTTCAGTAGATGAATGGATAAGGAAACTTTGGTATATATATACAATGGAACATTACTCAGCATTAAGAGAATAAAATCATGGCAAAAAAAATTTGCAGGTAAATGGATGGAGTTGGAGAATATAACGCTAAGTGAAGCAAGCCAATTCCAAAAACCCAAAGTCCCAATGTTTTCTTTGATATAAGGATGCTGACTCATAATGGCGGTGGGGGGGGACATGGGAGGAATGGAGGAACTTTAGATAGGGCAAAGGGGAGGGAGGTGAGGGGAGGGAGGGGAGGGAAGAGGGCAAGGGGATGATGGTGGAATAAGTTAGATATCATTACCCTAAGTACATGTATGAAGACACGAATGGTGTGAAAATACTTTGTGTACAATCAGTACTTGAAAAACTGTGCCCTATATGTGTAATATGAAATGAATTGCATTCTGCCATCGTGTATAACAAATTAGAATAAATAAATAATTTAATTAAAAACATATCTTAACTAGATGATTCTAGCTCAGGATTCCTTGACTTCCAAAAGAAAACTCTGTGGGTCTTGTAAATCTTATTTTGACTCACTCCATTAGATTAAAAAGCACGATCATAAATTATTCTGAGCTGGGTGTGGTGGCAATGTCTATAATCCCAGCAACTCAGGAGGCTGAGGCAGGAGGATCTCAAGTTCAGGGCCTGCTCAGCAACTTAGTGAGGTCCTGAGCAACTCAGAGAGACCCCATCTCAAAATAAAAAATAAAAAGGGCCGAGGATGTGGCTTAGTGGTAAAGTACCCCTGGGTTCAAAAAATAAATTATTCTGACACCTATGTTAAACTTCTGCTAAGGGACACATTCTTATACTTTTTCTAAACCCTATTATCCCTAACTGAAAGGTTCTCTGAGGCAGCACCTTAGAATTTTCTAAGGTCTTAACAAAGGAACTTTGGATATTTTTGGTATTCAAGAAACACCTTGCCCCTGTAATCCCAGAGGCTTGGGAGGCTGAGGCAGGAGCATCTAGAGTTCAAAGCCAGCCTCAGCAATGGCGAGGTACTAACCAACTCAGTGAGACCCTGTCTCTAAATAATATACAAAATAGGGCTGGGGATATGGCTCAGAGGTTAAGTGCCCCTGAGTTCAATCCCTGCCCCCGACAAAAAAAATTCTTAACTAGATGGTTCTGGCTTAGGATTCCTCACCAGGTTTAAGTCAGGACACCAGGCAAGTTATTGTCATTGAAGATTTTGTCTGGAGATGAACAACCGGCTCCCAAGATGACTGACAAATGTAAATGTGGCCACTGTCCCAAGGCTTCAGTTCCTCACCCCATGGACATCTACATAGAGTAGCTTGAATGTCCCCATAACATAGCAAGTGGGCATTCCCAGAAATAGTGGTGTATGAGAAAGACAGAAGCAGCAATAACCTACCCCTGGAGTCATATGCTGTCATTTCTACAATTATCTTTGTTAACAACACAACTCGCTAATAGTACACACTCAAGGGGTGGGAGGATTACATTCCACTAAAAAGAAGAATATTAAAAATCTGTGATTCTCCTTTAACACCACCACAGTATTTTTAAAAAACAAATTAAAACTTGATACAAAAATGATTCTTACTGAAATGACATTTAAATTAAAGGCTAGTATCTCTAGGGATAATGCCTATCTTCTATTTTATTATGAAAAAGAAAACTAAGCAAGTACTTTAGTGTCTAAGATATAGAGACTCCTTTAGTGGTCTGTGTGTAAATTATTGGACTGAGGGCACTAGAGATACTAGCGTACTATGAAGCAGGGACCCTATGGAGATAAACAGAATAATTATTCTTACTGCTTTTGCTACACCATAACCCTCTTTACCAGCTTCCCTTTCCTGATTCTAATTTTTTTATTACTTTGCATGTCTCTATAATAACCTTCTCCTGGTTCATATCTTTTGCTTTTCTTACTCTGTGGCAAAACTTTGACACACATAATACTATCAGGGAACATGATTTTGAAAATAAATATTTTTTACAAAATTAATTGCTACTTGCATAAAGTCTGACAAACAATTATGTTACAGCATTTATTTCCCCACACAAAGTTAATTAAATATAGAAATTATGTGAGACCAAATCAGAAGGATATTAAAATAAAAAAAAAACAGGTGTGATGGCACACACTTATAATCCCAGTGACTTAGGAAGTTGAGGCAGGAAGATCACACTCTCAAGGTCAACCAGGGCCACTTAAGGATGGTAGCACATTTATAACTTTCTTTTTTTCTTTACAGGTTCTTGCTATATTGCCCAGGCTGACCTTAAACTCATGATTATCCTGCTTTAGCCTCCCAAATAGCTGGGACATACCACCATGTCTGGCTTCTTTTTTTTTTTTCCTTTCTCTTTAAGTGGTGCTATATGTCTCAAATTTTCTAAAACAAACATTCATATTTCAGATTTTTAAAGTATTAAAATGAGCAACTGTGTACATAAAACATTTTGCCATGTCTTTATGTCAAAACTATTTTATAAAAATAACGAGTAGTAATATATCAATATGACATATATGTATGAATTTGGGTATTTTAACTTATAAAAATTTAATACTTTTAGCAGCAAATACGAAAAACACAGAAGAGCATTAAAAAGAAAGCTAAATTGCTTAGAATTCCACCTTAAAGGTAAACAACAAAAGCATTTTAACATTTTGGCTAAGTAATGAGGAAAACTGATAACAAAATTTTAATAGTTGCATGACAAATGTACCTTATTCAACCATTCCCACCATCCTATTATTTAGATAGTGCCTTAACTTTTTTAATCATCAAATATTTAAATACATATACACACAATATTAAATCCATGTATAAAAATTTTTGTGTATGTTTTCTTCATATACATTGCTACAAACTGATTCCCTAGATAAAGAGACACAAATGTTTCTTTTTTTAAGTTACTCTTCAATTGACACCAGCAACTTATGAGATTTCAAAAGAAATAGATTCTGTAGGTTTAAAAAATTAGAAATGTCAACATGTGAACAAGTAGAGGTTTTTAAACACATACTGACAAACTGCTTTCTAGAAAAAAATTTACCAATCTGCATTCTCTTCAGTGGGGCATCATGGGGCAGTATCATTTTTTAAAAAAACTTCAGTCATTTGGCAACTAAAACTGTTAATTTGCTTTAATTTATATTATCTTTTAATTATAAGTTAGTCCAAACACAATGGTATCCATATGCTCATGAGTAATCTGCAATTCCTCTTCTGTGCATTTTTGTATGTAAGAACCTTGCCCATTTTTTTCTGGGGATGGGGTGTCTATAACATGTGTTAGTTTGGCCAGGCTATGCTCAGTGCCCATATTTTAGTCTAGATGTTGCTATGAAGGTGTTTTTTAGATGCGACTAACATTTAAATCAGTAGACATGAAGTCAAGGAGATTTCCCTTAGCACTGGTAGCCTCATTAAACAGCTGAAAAGGACTGAGATCTGCCTGGAAATCCAAATGAAGACACACCATGTCAATTTCCAGCATGCATGCTCGCCTGCCTGCCCTGTGGATTTCAAACTTTTGAACCACCACACTCCTGTGTACCAACTCCTTAAAGAAATAAAAATAAAAAACTCTCCCTCTACACATACTGGTTCTATTTCTCTGAAAAAAAACAGACAAATATAGCATCTTTGAATATTTTTAAATAATTTATAGGTTAGTTAGTACTACGTCTAGTGATTTCCTCTACATCTTTTATGTTTAGAAATTCTTTTCAAGCCAAAGTACTTACTTGTAAGTCATCAGCTCCTTCAGCTTCATTTTTCAATGCTGGGCATCCTAAGAACACAGGTAAAAGTTCATTAAGCATAGCATTTCTGTCTTAGATTTTAGTATTCATTTTTAACTGGTGTCATTAAATCCCTTCAGAAGACTGATCAGAAATTATTCTGGGCTGCCTGGCAACCCAGTTAGATATTGGTCACTGGTTCTTATCCTGTTGTTAAAAGGTGTTCCTTCATCTACAGATAAATTTCCAGTTACTTACTAAAGAGATGTTTCCTCTTCAGAATTTATAATGTCTTGTAATAGAGAGAAAATGGCTAATGTTTCACAGTAATTTTCCTGAAGTAGAAATTAGATTGTTTTTCAAATTCTAATCTTTTTAAAGTAGCATTTTGAAAACAATATCTATACTAAGCATTTACATGTTCCTGTCATAAATTAGTTCATTTCTTCAAATTTCCCTGTAACATGCCCTTTAAATATATAAATCATAATGTGGTCTTACATGTTTTGATTCAGTTATTTTATATAGAAAGTTATCTCTATTAATAAATATATTTTCCTTCCTAATTAGAAAAAATGTATATCTCAGTTATTTCTCCCTTTATGTAAAAGTTTTAATGTGATTTCTTTTTGTTTAAATAAGCATTAAGCCAGTTTTACATGAAAATAAATACTTCCTTAAAAATCCACATTTTAGGAGCTGGGACTGTAGCTCAGTGGTAGCACCACTTGCCTAGCACACGTGAGGCACTGGGTTTGATCCTCAGCACCACATAAAAATAAATAAATAAAAAATAAAGGGCTGGGGCTATGGCACTTGCCCTTGAGGTAGTGCACTTGCCTGGCCTGGGTTTGATTTTCAGCACAGCATATAAATAAATAAAATAAAGGTCTATCAACAATTAAAAAATATATTTAAAAAAATCCACATGCTTTAGAAATTAATCACCTTGACAGACCACAAATACAGCAGAATATCTCCCTAGGATTTTGATAGATCTTACTGGTTCCCTCTTCTTCAAACTCTTTATTTTAAAACATTAGTCTTAGCTGAAGACTACTGATATGTGCCAAATAACAAATGCAATTGGTAGAGACTATAATTTGACAAATATAAAATTGGCTAAGGAGTCCATTATTTCATCTTTACCTATTGTGAGATTTCCAGGCCTGATCACACAATGTAAAAGCTGGTAAGAACTACTGTGGGTTAACTTTTAAGAAAGATGACCTCTACTCTGTATATTTAACACATAAACTGATAAATAATCAAGGAAACCTACCTTGAGAAATATCCTCGATGGCTCTTCGAATGCCTCTATCAAAAGCCCTAGCATCAGCAGGACTTTGAAAGGTAAGGCCAAATTTCTTGTCATCAATCTTCCAGTGGTGAAATGTTGGAGTGACCTTATTATAAATAAGGTCTTTTTTAAGCATACATTCCAAAACCACCTGTCAAAAGTCATATACCAACATTAACCTATGTATTTCAAATGTATCTAAGGTAGCTCTTAGTTACAAAATAAGGTGAGAAAAATTATCTTTTTAAATAAATAATAGATAATAAATATTCTATTTTTAATTTCAATTTAGGATTTTATTTTTTTATTGATTTTTTAAAAAATAAATGACAGCAGAATGCATTACAATTCTTGTTACACATATACAGCACAATTTTTCATATCTCTGGTTGTATATGAAGTATTTTTGCACCAATTCATGTCTTCATACATGTACTTTGGATAATAATGTCTATCACATTCCACCATCCTTGCTGACCCCCTGCTCACTCCTTTTCCCTCCCACCCCTATGCCCTATCTAGAGTTCATCTTTTCCTTCCATGCTCCCTCCCTACCCTACTATAAATCAGCCTCCTTATATCAGAGAAAACATTCAGCATTTGTTTTTTGGGGATTGGCTAACTTCACTTAGCATTATCTTCTCCAGTTACATACATTTTCCTGCAAATGCCATGATTTTATTCTCTTTTATTGCTAAGTAAAATTCCATTCTGTATATATTACATTTTTTTATCCATTCATCTACTGAAGGGTATCTAGGTTGGCTCCATAGTTTAGCTATTGTGAATTGTGCTGCTATAAACATTGATGTGGCTGTGTCCCTGTAGTATACTGATTTTAAGTCCTTTGGGTATAGACAGAGGAGAGGGACAGCTGGGTCAAATGGTGATTCCATTCCCAGATTTCCAAGGAATCTCCATAAAAGTAATAAGCTCTTGATCTCAATTTATATCACAAAATCATTTAATAAAAAGCTCAAGATGGTGGGGCTGGGGATATAGCTCAGTTGGTAGAGTGCTTGCCTTGCATGCACAAGGCCTTGGGTTCAATCTCCAGAACCAAAAAAAAAAAAAGCTCAAGATGGGAATCAAAAAGACCATGCAATTTGTAAACAGGATGTTTATTATACTCTCATTTTAAAGAATATACATACTCCCATATTTAAAAAAAACAGGAATTATTTTGGGGAAAGAGGCAGGGGTGGTGATGGTAGTGGTGATAACAGAAACTTTAAAAGCACCTCCCTAAATTCTTTAAAAATCCATTAATATTTTGTTTGAGAATTTAATGGACATAGCAGCAGATCAAATTCCTGCTTTGCCACTTTCTCAGAATACATATTAAGTAGGTTACTTAATCTTTTAAAGCCATAATTTCTTCATCTTGAAAATAAGAATTGCAATATTAAATACCTCATATTATGGAATTACTTAATAAGCATTCACATAAAAAGCTCCAGGAACTGTGTGGAACAATATGACTTTGTTTGATTCCCCCCACCCCAACACTTTTATTTTGAAATGATATAAATTTTACAGAAAAGTAACAAGAATAACATAGAAATTCATGTCTGCCCTTTACCCAAATTTATCACATTTACTTTTAGCATTCCATCTCTCTTTCTCTCTGAATATCTCTATATAAACATGCATTTATTTTATTCTGAACTATTTCAAAAAGTTTACATATATAATGTCCATTCTCTTTAATACTTGAGTGTATTTCCTAAAAGCAATGCTGTTCTTTTATGTAATCATTGTACACTGATCATATTCAGAAAATTTAAAACTGAGACAACACTTTTATCTAATTTATAGTCTATACTCTAATTCTGTCCAGTGTGCTAATAATAACTTTTATAGCATTTTTAAAAACTTCTAGTGTAGGATCCATTGTAGGATGACAGATTACATTTACTTGTAATGTGTCTTCAGTCTTTCTCAGTCTGGAACACTTTTCTTAGCCTTTAATATCCATGACATTCATACTATAATAAACATTAGATATCATAATTACTATACAAAAGTAAATTTGTAGTAATCCTTGCAATTAGCCTAGTTAGTCAAAAACGAAAACTACACATCTTAAATATTTTAGGGAACATCCTATAAAAAAGCAGGAGGAATTAAAAACAATCCAAATAAATCCTAGATCCCATATCCTATTTTATTTTTTATAGTACTCATAATGATCAGATAGTTTTATTAATATGCAGGCAGAATACTTTTAGAACAAGTATAAACCTTATCAGACAATTCTCCTTTGCTTCAATGTCTTCAGTCTTCTCAATGCTTTCAAGATTGAAGCCAAAATTCTTATCATGAACTACTAGGGCCTGCGTGAGCAAAGCTCCATTCTCATTCCCACACTCTTCCTAAATCTATGTTCACTCATCACTTACATCCACCATTCACACCCTTTGGTGCCCACTCAGTACTAGTCCCTCTCTGGAACTCTTCCTTCAACTTAACCTTATAAAAACATTCTACTCAAGATACTAACTCTTGAGTTTGAATACAGTGGTGCACATCTGTATCCCCAGGGACTCAAGAGGCTGAGGCAGGAGGATCTCAAGTTTGGGGCCACAGCAACTTATAGAGATGCTGTCTCAAAATAAAATAAAATAAAATGGGCTGGAGATGTAGCTTAGTAGAAGAGTGCCCCGGGTTCAATCTCCAGTATCAAAAACAAAAATTAAAACTCAAATAAACAACTTACATTTAACCTCCCAGGTAATGTCTTTTTTGATCCCTAGATTGGATATGGTCTGATAAGGTCTCTGGTGTACTTTCCTATATGTATTTATAATTTTGTTTTGTGTGTGTGGTGCTGGGGATTGAACCCAGGGCAAGCACTTTACCAACTAAGCTATGTCCCCACCCCGTATTTATAATTTTTTAAATGGAGTGACTAATCAATGCCATTAATCTAAAAGCTGAGTAAGGGCAGAGACTGCCACATTTGATCATCACTATATTCTGTTTTTATAATACAGTAGCAACCATACATTAAGTACTCAACAAATATTCCTCCTCAGAAAAATGCACACTGTTTTTCTAGAAATAATCAGGTTTTATGTACTCCCCTTGAAACTCACCTATGGATCATATTAATTAAGAACCTCTGATACTTTAGGAATGATTTAGGTTCAACACAACCAATGGTATGCTAGAGCCTACTAATACTGGCTTCTGAGAGCCAAATGTTAATTTTTTTTAGGAACTTTGCTGGTCATTATTAAAAACTAAATTATATATCCTTACAATTAAATAAGTTACACCAAAACCAGAGTAATAAATATTTAAAATTCATATTTTCCTAATTATTTACTGCATTTTACAATTACATATGTTCTTGAAACAGTAGTTTATCTCTCTCCTATCTACATGGTGAAAAAATTACATAAGCTGTACTACTGCTAATTTCTTTCCAATGCTGAATTCAATGATGTATTTAGTGAGGTTATACTGACAGAAATCAACCAATGTGCAATTATGCAAATGCTAGAAATCACTGCTTTTGTTCCATCTTCAAAGCTGTTAAAATTTTTTTCTTTTGTAGTTGTAAATGAACAGAATGCCTTTGTTTGTTTATTTTTATGTGGTGCTGAGGATTGAATAACCAGTGCCTCATATATGCTAGGCAAGCACTTTGTCACTGAGGTACAGCTCCAACCATAACTGTTAAATCTTTATCAGCATGTCACTAACTATAATGATTCTTGATAGTAAGTTTTATTAATTCCAGAATAAATAACCAAGAAAGTGACTGTTTATAAGCAATGTAATGAAACTTCCTCAACAGTTCTGCTACCTATACTTTGATGACTCTACATGTATTAGAAAAGAATAGACATATATCCATGACTTTTATGAATTAGTTTTTTGTTAAGGCATTTTAACACAGATTTATTACACAAACATTTTGCTGGGCATGGTGGTGGTACATGCCTGTAATTCCAATGACTTGGGAGGCCAAGCAGGATGATGAGTTCAAAGCCAGCCTTAGCAACTTAGCAAGACCCTGTCTCAAAATAAAAAGGGATAGGGATGTTGCTCAGTGGTAAAGCACTTTGGGGTTAAATCCCCAGTACCAAAACAAACAAACATTTTGAAACAATAATAATGATACAATTGATAATTAAATCAGTTCTGGAATTCAAGAAATATACTATTACATCAGGGAATGCTGCAATGTTTTTACTATATTCATTTATAAATAGTAGGAGTAGTAGTATTTCAGAAATTATGTTAAATTGAAATTGTGGCATATGTTGTAATCCTAGCTAAAGGTTAAATATATGCTAACTATGAAAAATATAGATAAATAAGTAAACTCTGGAATTCAAGACAAAATGAAAACTACTCAGCAAAAATGTATTAAAATCTAATTTGTTAAAGGGACAGAAAAAAAAAGGCTTCCTCCTATACTACCAGGTTAAGAGAGAGGGAGAAAAAAGATGGTTAATGAGAATGGATCTATGAGTAAAAAGTGTCAAAATAAAATGATTCAGCTATGAAAAATAGAAGGGACAGGATTCCAAGGATGGAGAATTGGTATAGTTGAGAGGAGTTTGCTATAGTTGTTAGTTAAGTTTGTGGGCTCAATAGCTAAAACCAATTGGGTCCCAGCTAGTCTTCACCAATTATTAATCAGCTCACTTCTGAGAATTAATTAATGTAATATGTGAATTATTCAAAATAATGCCTTTCATAGTCAACTATCAATAAATACTAGTAGTGATGATGATGTTAGTCACTAGGTAATACCACTTGTCAATGATAAGTTAGTAGATATGAGAGGCTGGGAGTCGTGATTTGTAGGGGAAATATTTTTATTTTTTGAGTACAGTACAGGAAAATTTCTGAATGGTAAGTATAGATACTCCATACTTCAAAGAGCTTATGTGAATAGATTCTGAAGAGCTTAAGTTAATCAATTCTAAAAGCAATGAAAATATTTTAATGTGCAAGGTTTTCCCTTCATTTGAAAGAAATTCCAGGGTAAGAATTTATAAAAGGAAAAAAGGAGGATAAGGGGGGTGGGGGACTGTGGTCATTAAACTAAATCTTCTAAAGATGTGTTCTATTTTGGGAAATATAGAGCAAAGCTCCCATCATAAAATTACTGTACTGTTTGCCAGAAGTTTT